ATGGCACTAACAGAAAGTTTATAATTTTTCTAAAACTAAAAGCAAAAAGAATTAAAAATAAAGCAAAAAACAAAAGAAAATAAATAATGCAGAAAACAAAACAAAAAAACTGGAAAAAAAAATAAAAATAGCAACAATAAGTATTTTGTTGTTAGTAGAAATAAAATAAAATAAATAAAGCAACAAAGAAAACAAAAAAATAAAAAAGTGCCACCTACTAGGCCCCCACGGCCTGAATACGACTAGAAACCCTACCATGGGCTAGGATTCAGGCCCGCGGGAGGCCTAGTAGGCCCACAGGCAGATAAAGTGACTTTAGGCCCGTAAGCCTGCATTTGAGAGGAGCTCGAAGTGGTCAGCGCAGCAGCGCTTATAAACCACTGTTGAAGCCTCTCGGCTAGCAAGGTGGGACTAAACATCCCACCGCACCGCGCCAGTTCCAGCACAGCCTTTGGTCCCGGTTGGTGCCACCAACCGGGACTAAAGGGGTGCATTAGTACCAGTTCGTGGCATCAACCGAGACCAATGCCCCCCTTTAGTCCCGGTTGGTGCCACCAACCGGGACCAAAGGCCGCCGCTTCCCGCCCTTTAGGCTGCTGAAAAGAGGCCTTTGGTCCCGGTCCGCTTCCCGCCCTTTAGGCTGCTGAAAAGAGGCCTTTGGTCCCGGTTAGTGGCACCAACCGGGACTAAAGGGAGGCATTGGTCCTGGTTGATGCCACGAACCAGGAACAAAGCCTTTCCTATATAACCAAACACTTAGGAAATTTCCCCCCACCTGCCATTCTTCTCTCGAACGCCACCAGGCTGCTGCGCTGCTCCTCGACGTCGGCCCCTGCCCCGACGTCACCGTCGCCTCCCCTAGCCGCCCAAGGTCGCCGTCGCCACCCGCTCACCGTCGCCCATGCCCTCGCTCGACGCCGTCGCCGCTCGTCGCCCTGCTCCGACGCGCGTCGTGCGCCCCGGCCCGCCCCCGTCGTCGCCGTCGCCCTGCCCCGCCCCCTTCCTCGCCGGTCATCGCCCCTGCCCCGTCGCCGTCCTCGCCGCCGAACGCGCGCCCCCTGCCCCGTCGCCATCCTCGCCGCCGAACCCGCGCCCCTGCCCCTCCCTTGGTCCGGCCGGCGCCCCTCCCCTGTTTTTTTTCATATATTATATGCTTGTTTTTTTTTCAGATTATATATATATGTATATATGTGAGTATATGTATTGTGTATATTGCTTCTTTTCAGATTTTTTTCATATATATGATGATTTGTATTTTGCTCTTTTATAAAAATGTATATATGTTTGTATGTTCTCTCTGTATATATGTTCATATATGCAAAAGTTAGATTTATATATTTAGAAAAGGATTATCTATATATGTTCTCTGATTTAGTACATTTTAGGTTAGTTTCATTTTTAGAAAAGTTTTATATATTTAGGAGAGGAAAAAGGAAAATAAGAAGAGGAAAAAGGAGAAGAAGAGGAGAGGAAGAAAAGGAAGAGGAGAAGAAGAGGAGAGGAAGAAAAGGAAGAGGAGAAGAAGAAAGGAATAGAGGAGAAGAAGAAAAACTAGAAAAAAAAATTTCTTCTTTTTTCTTCGATCTTCTCCTATATTCCTTTCTTCTTCTCCTCTTTTTATTTCTTCTTCGTTTTCTTATGTTTTATCGGGTCTGTTGTCGTCGATATACCCCTCCCGATAACTTCAACACGAGGGGGGGGGGTCGATATACCCCCTCCCCGATAATATTATTTTCCCATGTACGTATGTCGTGTCGATATAAACTCCCGATAACTTTAACATGTGGGGGGTCGATATACCCCCTCCCGATAACTTCAACATGAGGGGGGTCGATATACCCCCTCCCGATAACTTCAACACGTGGGGGGGTCGATATACCCCCTCCCCGATAATATTATTTTCCCATGTACGTATGTCGTCGTTGTCGATATAAACCCCTCCCGATAACTTCAACACGTGGGGGGGGGTCAATATACCCCCTCCCAATAACTTCAACATGTGGGGGGGGGGGTCGATATACCCCCTCCCCGATAATATTATTTTCCCATGTACGTATGTCGTTGTTGTCGATATAAACCCCTCCCGATAACTTCAACACGTGGGGGTGGGTCGATATACCCCCTCCCCGATAACATTATTTTCCCGTGTATGTATCTCGTCGTTGTCGATATTACCCCCTCCTTGAAGCGTTCTCGAGGCCACCCCAAACCCTTGAAGCATTGTCGAGGCCACCCCAAACCCTAGAGAAGCAGCGCTGAGGCCACTAATATGATTCCTTATTGTGATTAGCTAGCTAGTTCTACGTTTGCCACTAATATATCCATCTGTCATGTTTGAATAATAATTGCCATGTTGTAAATATTTGTAGAAACTATGGACACCCCCCGAGATGAAGCACAAGAAGCGTTGTTGGGGGACATAATCGCACAAGGAAGTGATGTTGTCTGCTCGTTGTTTCTCAACGACACCGATGGTCTGGAAGGACAGGGTGAAGAAGCAGCTGGCTATGATTATGATGGCTCCGGTGACCCAATGCCGGTGCAAGAAGGAGACCGTGAGGATGGCTCCGGTGACCCAATGACGGTGCAAGAAGGAGACCGTGATGACGGCTCCGGTGACCGAACCGAGTCCGGCCAGGTATATATATTAGTTAAGCCTGTGCTGACTAGCTAATTGGTGCATTCATTGTTTTGGTATGTACACATATTAATTAACTCTCGTCTTTCTTCTTTTTTCTAGCCCTACGGATCGAGCACAACTTCGGTAAAGAGACGAGGCCCGAAGAAAAAATTGAGCTCGGATGAAAGGTTTGAGATCATAGCAATCGCGTGCGACGGCCAACCGATTGAACCCATCCGGACAAAGGACGCATTTGTTGCTCAGTGCGGGGTTCCAGTTAGGGACAAGATCCCGATCAGCATCTAGCAATGGTTAACACTACTAGGGAAAAGGCTAGCAGCAGCACGGGTTTTAGGCCTATCAGTAGCGCGGGGATATGCGCTACTGATAAGGCGCTACAGCTATTCATTAGCAGTAGCGCGTGTTACACGCGCTACTGCTAGGACAAGTAGCTGCAGCGTTTGTTCAATCCCACGCTACTGCTAATGTAACTACTGGTAGCGCGTTTTCCGTCCATCGCTACTAGTATTCTTTTTTTATTTTTAAATTTTTAGTGTATTTATCGTACAAATATTGGTACAATACTAGTTATGTCCATAACAGTGTGTCAAATGAAGGTGGATTAGTTTCAAGTGGAGGCAATATGTGGTGCATGTCAAAAGTATACTACAAATCCAAACTTGATCTAGTTTGGACTAGTAGTACTTTCGATGTGCACCACATGTTGCCCCCACTTGAATCTAATCCGCCAACACAAGCTATTTAATCATCATCATAGTCATTACCACCAACATTAGCTATTTAATCATCATAGTCATAGTGTAGCACACATCATCATCTTCAAACTCTCATTCTAGCTAGCTAATCACCACCAACACTAGCTAATAATAATCATCATAGTCATTACCACCAACATTAGCTATTTTATCATCATAGTAATAGTGTAGCACATCATCGTCCTCAAACTCATTTCTAGCTAATCACTCCTGCTGCTCTCTCTTAGCACTACAAGAAATATGTCAACTTATGACCACCACTATTGGTCACTGAATGGTCACAAATTTCCATTTATGACCTTTTTGTGACCAAAAACATAAGGTCAAAAGCTGGACGTCGTAAACTGACTATAGCGACCTTTCTTCTGGAATGGTCGCAAACGTTTATGACCAAAATATGTCCACTGTGGCGTTTTGGTCACTAGCAACCTCCCCAGGCCACGTAGGCATCCAGCGTGGCAATCTGACGTGGCACAAGATTCAGCCCGGTCCAATTCGATTTTCTACATGGGCCTAGCCCAACAATTCGGCCTTTTTTATATTTTTTTCTTGATTAATTTTGGTCAACTACATGGGCCAGGCCCAACATTTAAGCCTTTCATCTTTTTTTTTTCAAATGAGTCCAGCCCAATGTTTTCCAGGTTTTTCTTTCCTGGGCCATGGCCTTTCCACATTCATTTATTTTCGTTTTACTTTTTTACCCAAAATATTTGTCCAATATAATTGATCCTTAGCCTCTTTAAGGTCCAACTCCAGACCATTTAAAGAAAATTTTCAAACCAGTTTGAATAACAATATGAATCAAGTTACCACGAATTAGCTGAATATTATAGAAATATCTCAGAACACACATTCTACAAATTTCCATCACATATGTACAGATTCAAGCAACCTACAACATGTTGTAGTCAAGCATTCAGGTGCAGGAATACTCTAGAACAAGAAGAATAAATAGAACAAGCATATCTAGTGCTTCACGACGAGAAAACATTGTAATCTGCTTCTTCAAGTACTGCTTCTTCCTTTTGGAAAACATCTGGACATTCAAAAGAGAACAAAAAGTATGTCACTGATAGAAGAAATATTACACAGATACTTTTAATATAAAAACTAAAGACACACCAGTATTTTATCATTCTACTTATTATTATTTTAACAAGCTCATTCTACTTATCTGGAATAGGCATATTCATCAAAATAGGGAATTGAATTGGCACATATGACAAACTTAGCCAGAAATAAGCACAAAACAGCCTGTGACAGAACAGCAAAAACATGTAAATATCACAAGAACTAAATTATGCATGCAAATGGTAATAAAATGTCAACTGCAGCAGAAACCACCATTAAATGCAGTTATTCTAGTGAAACATCAGGCCATAAATGCAGTTATTCTACGGTCCACTAAATGACCCCCCGTTGTTCATTTTATGGTGGTCTTCAGCAAGTTGGTTTATTAGTAAGGAAAAATATATAACGTGAGATTCATACCCCCCCCCCCCAAAATCCAGTCAGCAGCAACAATGTATCCAAAGAAATGCCATGCAGAGACAGGGAACACAATAAAACATATTTTAGTTCACATTATAGCATTACAATTATTTTTATAAAACCTGGCACAGAGTAGAAATAGTAAGTTATACAGCAGCAGGAAACATTGCTTGGATGAAAGCAGCATGTTAAAATAAGTTTGGTCATATTAAATAGCTATAAGAATTGTGGCATAGATTTACAGAATGTGAATATATAAGCAGCAGCCACATTAAATCACCAAGTACCAAAACATAGATTTACAGACTGTGAAGATAAAATTCGGTGAAACAAATGTAAACCTTGGAAACACCCTTGCCCAAGTAGTCAGATCCACCGTCCCTCAGCTCCAAAGCTTCATAGACACCTACATAAGTGGGATGATTCAGACAAGATTAGCTTCAGTCAACAATGATGACAGGAGCATTGTGTGCCTTCACTAGGCAGGAACCAAGGCAAAAGTTGATTATAAGGCTGAAAGGAAAACAGCGATGATGTAATAATAACAAAATGACCCACCAGTTGATGCACCGCTGGGAACAGCGGCCCTGGCAAAGGTTCCATCTGAGCAGCACACATCAACCTGATGCACAATAACAATGGAGTTAGCAACCATATCTTACATCACACTACGACATCATCAGGCACAGATTAACGAGAATATCCCACCGACAGCAAAACCAGAGCATCACGTTTCAGACTAGGCATAACTATGGACACCAGACCATAAGCTATACATTGCAGATAGTAAGCAGGCTGCGGTTGCCTTTGAGGCGGACTATGAGAATCCGACTTTTCCAACTAGCTTCCGTCGTTCAGCAAGCACAAACGGAGCATAAGCATGACGACAAACCGATCCATGGATACAACCATAAATGGATGGCAAGCAGGCAAGATGAAAATTGCACGCGCCACAGGATCTGACTGCACAAACCACCACCTCGAGTGGAATCTAGCGTGACCCAACCCCAATGTTCTGGCACAATGTTCTGGCACAGGGAAGAAAATCGTTGACTCAGACATCACAAAATTTGTAACTGAAATCGAAGTTAACTGAGCTCCTGACCATGTGATGGCATAGGATACTGAAACTGAACACCGACAAGATCCATGGCAGGACGACACTACACATGGGTCCAAAAGTTACAGGCTCCTCTACTAGGAGATGCAGAACTCTACTAGTACTAGGAGAATTACCCTACGAAAATGAACTAGACAAGTCAAGTGATTTGCTTCACTCAAGGACAAACCTGCTACACTACGTCCAAAGCATAGTCAAAACTGACAATCCGCTCGGGCGAATTTGCAAATAGATTAGAAACTGAAAAACATAGCAGTTCATCCAGAAGAAGATACATAGCAGGGCATCTGCATTGGCAAGAGCTGAACGCACCATAATCTCATGACGAGGAAATCATCACTAATATATAGACCACCCAGCACTAACAATGTTCACATCAACTCTCAAGTTGGTCAGAACCTCAAAGTACACAAAAACTGATGTGCTTCAAAACTAAACTGATGAAGCTGAAGCTAGGACATATCAGGCAGGTATAGTTTTGGGGATTTCCAGCAGCTCATATATATGACAAAAACAAGATATCCTCCTACCCCAACAATAGCAATGCAAAAAGTAAGCAAAATAGCACACGAACTAATAAGCACACGAACAATAATTGGCTCAACGGGAGACGGACGGGGGATGGGCGCGTGCGGGCGTACCTCGACGGCGGGGTTGCCGCGGCTGTCGAAGATCTGGTGGGCCTTCAAGGACTGGATCATCGACGCCATGGCCGAGGCCGATGCTTGGAGAAGAAGAAGCCATGGCTGCTACCACCCAAGTAGTCCAGGCGTCCTCATCGCTGGTGAGGATCCATCTTTGCCTTCATGGGTGCCTACAGAGAGAGAGAGAGATTCAGATAGAGAAATCATGACAAATAGAGAGTACGGGAAGAGAGAGGCGGCCAGATCCGGCGAATGAAGCGGGCGACGCGAGCATGGGCTGGCGGGTCATGGCGGCGCGCTGGCCGGTTGAGGCGGCGCTGGGAGCCAGGGCGAGGGAGGAGGGCCAGCAGGGAGAGCAACAGGGGACGGAGGTTGTGGGCGCGCGGGCAGCAGAGAGGCTCGCCAACGGAGGGGGTGGGGTAAGCTCAAGACCCTCACGGGAGAGGGCGTTGAGCGGGGCGGCGTCGGTGGGGCGGAGGAGGTAGAGGAAGCACCAGGCGGCGAGGAACGCGAGGAGGGCGACGAGGGAGAATCTCCCGCGGCCGCCATCGCTGATGCTGCTGCTGGATCCGAGCTTCGGGGATTGGGGATCGGGGAGACGAAACCCTAGCTGCAGCGGAGGAGCGGGAGCGAGGTTCAGGTGCAGCGCGAGGGAAGGAGGGCGCCGCCGGTGACAGAAAGGAAGGAGGGCGCTGCCGGTGCCAGCGCGAGGGAAGGAGGGCGTGGCGCGAGGGGTGAGGGAGAGGCCGATCTGGATCGGGGACAGAGAGAGGGAGGCAGCAGACGGAAGGAAGGGACGAGAGGTGAGAGAGAGGTAGGGTTTGGTGCGGTGGGTTTTTTCCTTTCTTTGCATGGACGGATGGATGGACGTTGGATTGCTAGCAATGGATGGTAGGATGTCTGCCATCTCATCGGTCCGTGCCACACACGGTTCCACTAATCACAATGTAGTAACACTTTGACGATTTTATAACCATCTAAGTTGGTCGTAATTAATTAAATAATATGCTAAATCATGTCACCTATTTTATAACCTCATAGAATTAGAAAAAAATAAGAACAATAGCATCATGTCACAAGTGAGACTTGTTTTTCAGAAAAATAACAAACCTGGAATAATACAAATATCTTTAAAAATTGATCTCAAAAATGAGTTTTATTTGCAAAAAAACATTTTCAACCTTTGGAGTGTCGAAAATGGTATTTTTTTTGAAGCACCTACCAATATTTGTTGCAAAATGGCACCACTCTATTTTTCAACAATATTAGATCATATTTTAGGTACAATTGACCAAATGCTTGTGTCTCAATAGGTGTCTATCCAACTCTCGTCAATAATTGAGGAGGTTTTTCAAGTGCCCATTTTTCATTTTTCGAGTGTCCAAAAGGGGTTTTTTTGTGAAGAACCTACCAAATAATTGTTGCAAAATTGGACCAAATCATTTTTCTAAAATGCTATGCCATATTTAATGCACAATTGACCAAATGGTTGGGTGTAAAGAGTTTTGATCCTCCTCTCATGAAAAAGACAAATTTTCGCTGATTCAGTTGGAAGCGGGTCAAATTTGAACTGTAGCTGCATTATAGTTTGCTCTTTTTTTTCCAAAACTTATTTCTAGGTACATAAGTATCTATTTAATCAGAGAAACACCAAAAAAATTCCAAGATTCAACCACTAGCTAGGAATGGTCATTCCCGCCGTTTTGACCGCATTTTGAAACGGGCATAAAAAATTCAAAAAAAATCAAAAAATTGGGAAACCTTCGCATTGTGTCATTATATGTGGCCAAGTTCCCAGGAAAAATAAAAAACTTGTAATATGGCAATTATTTTAAAAAAGTGTTCTCAGAAACGAGCTATCACGTGTGGAGATCAATGGCTTTCAAGCCAAATGATCAATCCTATGGCCACATTCATGGCATAGTTTGTTCAAATAATCTCATATTGTGCACAAGGGTGCATATTGGAATGGCAAACAATGTTGCCTAAGGAGGTTTTCTTTTTCTTTGGACGAAAGAACCATTTTCCATTTTTCGAGTGCCCAAAAGGAGGTTTTTTTGTGAAGGACCTCCCAAATAATTGTTGCAAAATTGGACCAAATCATTTTTGTAAAATACTAGGACATATATAATGCACAATTGACCAAATGGTTGGGTGAAAAAAGTTTTGATCCACCTCTGGTGAAAAAGACAAATTGTCGTCGATTTAGCTGGAAACGGGTCAAATTTGAACTATAGCTGCCTCATAGTTTGCTCTTTATTTTTTACAAAAATCATTTCTAGGTACATAAGTATCTATTTAATCAGAGAAACACCAAAAAAATTCCAAGATTCAACCACTAGCTAGGAACGGTCTTGCCCGCCGTTTTGACCGCTTTTTGAAACGGGCATAAAAAATTCAAAAAAAATCAAAAAATTGGAAAACCTTCGCATTGTGTCATTATACGTGACCTAGTTTCCAGGAAAAATAATAAACTTGTAATACGGTAATTATTTTAAAAAAGTGTTCTCAGTAATGAGCTATCATGTGTGAAGATTCATGTATTTCAACCCAAACGATCAATCTTATGGCCACATTCATGGCATAGTTTGTTCAAATGATCTCATATTGTGCACAAGGGTGCATCTTGGAATTCCAAACAATGTTGCCAAAGGAAGATTTCATTTTCTTTGCATGGAAAATTCATTTTCCATTTTTCGAGTGCCCGAAAGGAGGGTTTTTTTGTGAAGGAACTACCAAATAATTGTTGCAAAATTGGACCAAATCATTTTTCTAAAATACTAGGCCATATTTAATGCACAATTTACAAAATGGTTGGGTGTCAAAAGTTTTGATCCACCTCTGGTGAAAAAGACAAATTCCCGTCGATTCAGCTGGAAGCGGGTCAAATTTGAACTGCAGCTGCCTCATAGTTTGCTATTTATTTTTTCCAAAAATAATTTATAGGTACATAAGGACATATTTAATCAGAGAAACACCAAAAAAATTCCAAGATTCAACCACTAGCTAGGAACGGCCATTCCCGTCGTTTTGACTGCATTTTGAAACGGGCATAAAAAATTCAAGAAAAATCAAAAAATTGGGAAACCTTCGCATTGTGTCATCATATGTGGCCAAGTTCCCAGGAAAAATAACAAACTTGTAATACGGTAATTATTTTAAAAAAGTGTTCTCAGAAACGAGCTATCATGTGTGGAGATCAATGGCTTTCAAGCCAAATGATCAATCTTATGGCCATATTCATGGCATAGTTTGTTCAGATGATCTCATATTGTGCCCAAGAGTGCATATTGGAATGGCAAACAATGTTGTCTAAGGAATTTTTCATTTTCGTTGGACGAAAAAACCATTTTCCATTTTTCGAGTGCCCGAAAGGAGGTTTTTTTGTGAAGGAACTACCAAATAATTGTTGCAAAATTGGACCAAATTATTTTTATAAAATACTAGGCCATATTTAATGCACAATTGACAAAATGGTTGGGTGTAAAAAATTTTGATCCACCTCTCGTGAAAAAGACAAATTTCCGCATATTCAGTTGGAAGCGGGTCAAATTTGAACTGCAGCTGCCTCATAGTTTGCTATTTATTTTTTCCAAAAATCATTTATAGTTACATAAGGACCTATTTAATCATAAATACATGGTTTGGTGGCGATACGTTGAGGTTTGGGCGGTGGCCGAGGGCCCCAACTCTAGAGCGCGTAAACTCGCATGCCCGTCGCGTGGTCACCGCGTGACCGTAATGTTGCCATGTGTTCTGGGCGGCCTAGGCATGTCTATTGGGTTGGGCACTCCCCAGGTTGGTGCTAGGAAGAAAATTACAACATAAGATTCTCACGAGGAGACCGATCGATGCTCAAACATGAATTAGCAGCCAAGTGTTTGATTTGCGGTACGGGAAATGCACATGGCCAATGGGCGTGAGTTTTGGCTGAGGATGATAATCTACTAAGGAGAATGTCTTCACAAATTTTTAGCTCAAAAGGAGGATCCTAGGTGGTACTTGCTTTGCAAAGTACCATGCTGGACAAAAATATGAATGTTGAAGCTGGGCACAAAATAATGAATGGAGTGAGCTGAAATTTTGTGGAGGATGGTTATTTGGGCATAGGAAAGCATTGTAGAAAATTGATACCATTTGGACATGCCAAAGTAGTAGTTCCTTCACAATGCTCTTCTATGGACAGAAACTTGGGAAAACTAGTGAGAGAGATTGGATGAATGAAATGAGCTCAAAGTTGGTGTAGGTAAGTTACTTTGGTATGGTCATGCACTGGTCAATTTTCAGATCATTTGGGTAAGCCTAGCTAGTACTTACTTCACAAAGCTTCTCTCGAGGTAGAAACTTTGGAAATTTCCCGAGAAAGATTTACTAGGAAAATTGAGCTGAATATTACCATGTGGCAATGATTTGGGTATGGAAGAGTGCCCGAAAAGTTTGAGGGTAATAGGAGGGGTCTATATAACACTTGCTTTGCAACGTGTCAATTTGGCCATAAAATATAAATTGAACCTGGGCTCACATAGATGATTTGACCAAGCTGCAATTTGGAGGAGGGTGATAATTTGGGCATATGAAGGAACTGTATACATTTCATGTCATTTAGAGATATAAAAAAGGTACTTCCTTCACAATGCTTCTAGGTGGACAAAAACTTTGAAAATTTTCCGAGGAAGATTTGCTAGGCAAATGGAGCTGAATTTTGTCATGCGGTAATGATTTGGATAGGAAAGAGTGCCCAAAAATTCCGAGGGCAATCAATAATATATAAATAGCACTTCCTTCATAAAGTGTTGTTGTGAACAGAATAGGAAAATGAATATTGTTGAATTAGTTTTGAACTAGGCAAGGAAGGATTTTTACATATTTGATGAAGATATGCCCCAAAGAATTTATGAGATTTTTTTGGAATTTTGGGAATGATAGAAATATAGGTTGCTTCACAACCTAGGGCGAAAACTGCCACATGGACATGACACATAGGCAAAACTGATGAGATGGCGCCTAGTCGTCACAACCCACCACAATCTACAAGGCTATGACCATCTATATTGGTCATTAACAAC